TTGAATTTTTTGAAAATTTGTGATTTTTTTTTTTAATCCATGATCGAATTTTTTTTTGTAATCCATGATAGAATTTTTTGAAAATTTGTGATTTGTTTTTTAATCCATGATCGATTTTTTTGAAAATTTGTTATTTTTTTTTTTTAATCCATATTATTCAAAGAGAAAATGAGAGAGATGATGATTCTGAGGCCACCCTATCCCAGCCATATTATTCATATATCGAGTCCCAACAGCAACAGTGTAGGGATGAGTACGAAATACTGTAAATTAAATGCTGAATGACGGTTCATGCAGAGAAAGAACATATCAATATTCGCATATTCATTCAAAAACATAAAAATTCTTAATGGAGTACCCTCATTTTTTATTGAATTCCTAAAAAACAATATTTATAATGAATTTTAATAATTTTTTCGAATTTTTTTTAAGCTTTATTCTGACCGATTCACCCGATTTCCGATCCAAATCGCCGATTCGTCGATCCGGAATGATTTTTTAGAAGCCAGATCGGGGTCACCGATCCATTTTTTAAACCATTGGTTTAGGGTATAAAAACATTCTCCTTATATGAGTTCATTCCACCTCAGGACAAAATATTACCCAAGCCTATAGTAGAGAGAGAAACTCCATTTTTAGTGAGAGAGAGGGAGAGCAACTCCCATCGTTTCTGCAATTGATGGAACAAAAGCGCATTAGAAGTCCGCCATTTTTTTGAAGCTCTTCTTCTCAATAGCCTTTGGTCCAAAGGTTACAGGTCAATTTCATGTCCTTTTGGTTATGAAATTCATTTTTGAAATTTGAGTGCAGTTGATCGTTTTCAGCAATATCAGTGAGATCAATGGGATGTTCGAGTAATATTTCTGTGTATTTTCCTATTGGGTGCCTGATGAGAAGATCCAGTTTCTCCCCTGTTTGTTTGCTCTGCAAATTAGTGGCACAAAGAAGAACTTTAGGTCTGATTAATCAAAAAAAAAGAAAAGGAAACTTTAGGTCCAGTGACCCTGAGAATCAAGAGCTCCAGTATGTTTAAAATATTTCTTTTGTTTGTTCGGTCATGTTTTCTTTCACAAACATGGGGTCTAGGTTGCGCACGACTCTGTACACAATTTCTAGGGTTTTGGGATCACTTGGGAATAGAGGAACAGTGATTTTGATTGCTGTTAGTGCTTATGTAATGATTTTTGTATTGTTCTAATCTCTTATATTTCTTTAATTTTTGAAGTTTAGGTCTTATTCATTTCATTGGAAGAATCCAGAGGTTCATTTAGTTGTAGATGTGTTAGATTTTAACTGAAATTATTCTTTACAAGCAACGATTAAAAGCTGTGACAGGCTATATACTTTTTATTTGTCCATTGACACAAAAATTTTAAGCAATGAAAGTGGATTTTGATGTCCTCCCCTTTTCTGAATTATTTTGCAAACTATGTTTTATAGGGGGTTAGATTTTATGAAACTGGCAGAGGATGACTCAAAGAGAATAAATGGTATATTTCCATGACTGCAATATCCATTTGTATGAGTGATTGAGACATTCTGAGCAACTGGTCTTTGTAGTAGTAAGCCACTGGTGGCATTGTGTATATATGTATTTTTTACCTATCTCATTGGGGCAATTAAGATCTTTATTATAGAATATAATGTAAAATGAAAGAGTAATATATCTTTCAAACAAAAAGCATGAAAGAGACATGTAGAGAGATTTTCCTTGATAACAACAATATCCTTTTCTTTGTCTTGGTATATCCCTAATGCAATATTGTGTATCCTTAGAAGCCAATTTTTCTCATATGTTAGAAGGCCATGACGTAAACAAGTATGCTAAGGGGGCAATCTAGTGTACTTTGATTCATATACTCAAATGTTTTGGAGGAAGCAACACAGAGAAGAGTTGTTACACTGAAGAATTATGTGTCTACCATGAGTTTCCTTGGAACCTTCATTGTTGTGTGTGGGAATTCCACCAAACAGGAGAATCTCTACTCTAGGGCTTAGCTGTGATCTGATAATTCTCTACTCTAGGGTTTAGCTGTGATCTGATAATTCTCGACTAGGAGTCATATATGTTCATTTGTAGAATGTGGTCCCTCAATGGGATTACAATTTTAGGGGTCTATCTGAATTATGTGATTATAAATGCCCAGAGATATTGAACCTTTTCTGTTTCAAGTCCAATGTTCTCTTAGGAAACCCATTGCCGGTGTTATGTGATGACCAACTGATTGATGGATTTGTTTATATGATGAGCAGAAATTGTGAATGTTTCGAAGCAAATGCTTTCCTCCACTTCCCTTAATTAGTACTGTTGTCAAATTTGAGACATTTCATTAAATATTTCAAATTTGCTAGACACCATTTTTTATTTGATAATATGTGTGGAAAATTAAGACCATTTACATTTGGTGTAAGGAGAAGCACCCTCACCCTTCAGATGTGAAATTGGATGGCTGGAGGTGCGCCATTTCCTGGGTTCAAAGTCCAAAACAATTTTTTTTGAACTTTTCGACATACCCCAAGCTGTCAGATTTCACATCTAATGGCTATAGGTGATTGGGACATCCTTATACTAACTGCATGGTCTTATAGTATAGAATCCCAATATATATTCATGCCAAAGGCTCAATCTTAAAATTAGCTGAGTGTAGTTTAATATCTCTGAATAGTTGATTAAAATTGTTGATGATACGTGATTTTTCCCCCAAAAAAAGCAAAAAACGAAAAAGGAAGAAGAAGATGGTAGAAACGGTTATTATCCAGTACTGATGATTTTTCATGTGGAAAACAGTTATAATCGTGTACATTTTCTTCTAATAACTATCGTACTTCCAATTACTAACAAAGGAGTATGCAAGTATAACAAAGAATACACATTCTATAACAAGCTAATTAAATTCCAAGTAGGCTAGGGTGTTCCATTGTTTTCTTTCCCGTATACACAGACCCAACACTGCTGCCATCAACTTGATAAAATTTTGTAATTCTTATATTCAAAGCATTAAAAAATCCAAATAGTTTTTATAAAATAAAAGCCAACATAGTGACACTGCAGTATATGGAAAGAGACTTGTTGATAGTACAAGTTGTGCATGCCTCAGTCTTACAACTTACAAGACAAAAATCGAGGAAGAAATCAACTTTCTAGTATTGCTTTTAAAAAAGCTAACTCATGTAATAGAAGAATGTAATATGCTTTATGCTAATTCAAATGGAACAATCTGCCCACACGATGGTCTCTTCAGACCTACTCCTCGGTTTTTGTATGTTGTATGTTATGTATTGGAGGTCAGGGACTGTACCCAACAATTTTGTTTAAAACTTTAAAACAACGTTTAAAAAAGTAGTGATCTGGATTGGAATTGGTTGATTTGGATCGGGAACCGGTCAAGCCGATCTGGATCCCATAAAATATCACGACTGCCCCACTTTTGCTTTTAATTTTTTCAATTTTTTTTTTAATTTTTTTTTGCCTGGTGCACTCGGATGGATTGTTGAGCTGGATCTACCGAACCAGACCGGTTTTCCAGATGGGTGATCCGGGTGACCAATCTATTTTTTTAAACCTTGGTTTAGAAATCAGTTCAATCAATATTGAGGCGCTTCTGGAAATCATTTAAATGAATTGCACCAGTATTATTGTATTGTAGTAATTGATCCCATTTGTGGGGTAGGCAAACTACACATGTTACCCATTGATTGCTTCTCCATGAATAGTTGCGCTCCTAGTGCTGTGATGCTCAATAAAGCTACAAGTTTATGAGAATTGTTCACATTGTTTGTCCTTTGGTTTAGAGGAAGCTCTTGAGCTTGTGTGAAAACATTTTATTTGAGCTCTGAGGACTGAATATGGGTTGGCATGCCGGTATGTGGATTTTGGAATGAGAGGTTCAGAATGTGGACTCAAAGTTAGGGTACCCCTGTCTTCACAAACAAGGCATCCTTTAACATTTAGTTTCTATTACTCTCCTATCCTCTTTCAATTTTTTTTCTCTTGAGAAGTGTATTCCTTTGTAATTCCTTTTGAATCATTTGAATGAGTTCTAAGAATTGAAACCAGGGTGACAACACGCATTATTTTAGGGCAACTGTTAACATACTAAAAAAACAGGCATTATTTTAGGCACCGGCTGAAGAGCAGTATTTTCTTTCTGTTAAAGCATGCATGCTTAACATATCCACATCGTTAAAATGAAAATATTGTGGTCTGTAGTACAAAATCAATGAAAATATATGAAGGATTATTATTATTATTTTTTAATGTGAAAGTTCTTGACTGGTAGTAAACTTGAGTTTTGAGAATGATTTGGTAAGCTGTCATTTATATGTGTGTGAAAGATCATTTGTTATAGTTATAAAACCAGAAAGCTTATTCCCCTTATGGTATGTTTATACTTGTGTATAGGTTATGTCTGCAACAATTTCGTGAATCCAGAAAGTCTCTTTTGACATGGCAAAGCATTTAGGAGGGGGAGACCCCTCAAATGGTTCCATATATGTATGTAACTTGCCTCCTGGAACTGATGAGGTTATGCTTGCTGAATTCTTTGGCACCATAGGGCTAATAAAGGTAAAATATCCATTTCTTCTGAGATTAAAATCAATATGAAGCACATAAGAAATTCTTTTAGAAAGAATTGACCATAATTACTTTTTCATTTAAACCTCACAGAAGGACAAGCGTACTGGTCGCCCCAAGATCTGGTTATACAGAGACAAAGTAACAAATGAGCCAAAAGGTGATGCAACTGTAACATACGAGGATCCACATGCTGCTTTAGCTGCTGTAGAATGGTTCAACAATAAGGACTTTCATGGAAGTACCATTGGTGTGTTTATTGCTGAATCCAAGAGTAAAGATTCAGTTGATAATCAGTATAACTCAGGTATCAGCCATCAATCAGACCATGCCGCGGATCAAAGTGTAGCTGGTGACTTAGGTGATCAAGAAGAAGATGGTGGAGAATTGAATGATGGTGGAGGAAGAGGTAGAGGGCGAGGTGATGCTTCGGGGAAAGCATGGCAACAAGAGGGAGACTGGTTGTGTCCGAATTCAAGGTCTGTGATGTGATATTGGTGAGCGGCTCATTCTTGCACTTTTAAATTCTATTTATGATTTTCCTTTGTTGGATTGATGAGGCAATGTTTTAGATATATAAAGGGATGATCTTGTTTATCCTAGCAGTTGTACCAATGTGAACTTTGCATTTCGTGGGGTGTGCAATCGTTGTGGAACCGCACGCCCTGCTGGTGGCTCTGGAACAGGAGGAGGTGGTGGTGGTCGTGGAAGAGGGCGAGGTGCAAGTGATGGGGGAGGTAGAGGTCGAACAGTTGGGGGTCCTACTGGGCTTTTTGGTCCCAACGACTGGCCCTGTCCAATGTATGGGTGATTTCGAATTCTTCTTCTTTTTCCCCTTATTTTAATTAGGGTGCTTGATTGATGTTTGTTTTCAGTTTTTCAATTTTCCATTATATGTATTGTCACTGTTTTGTAAGTTCTTTTGTTTTCGTTTAAAAAGTGTCCCACTTTGATAAGTGTGCTTCTATTTAACGGCTCCCATTGTGGCTATTGCATCTTCTCTGATGAAGTGTGTAGTTGTCCAATTATCCCAACTTTGATGCTCATTTAGATTCATGGGGAAAGGTAATGTTTTGATTGTTTAAGCTGATATCATGCGATCCCTGTATTCTATTGTCTCATTGTCTGGCAGATTAGTTTCCTCTAATTCTTTTTTAATTTTCATTAACTCTCCAATCTTTTTTTTTCTTTTAGTCTCTAAGAAACTTGTTATCAAATAAAATCGGTTAAGCCCTTGAATAATTTGTACGTTCTTATTGCCCCAGTTGCATAATGTTATAGGTTTTTTGAGTTCATTTCTTAGTTTTAATAAATAGATTTTGGCTGTTTCAAATTGAAAATTTGATGGTTCCAAGTTCCAACCATGCCAGTTGTTCTCTATGGTTTTTGGGTTTATTATTTAATGGATCCAGGGCATGGTAGGTGATTCTAAGTTTTCCTTGATCAGTCCATCTGGATGGGTTGTCTGAATTTCTTTACTGGCTCTTCTTCCATATTCCATTCTATCTGTGACTTGCTGCCTTTTGTTGTAGCCTGAGTTATTTGGACACCGAATTTTGTCATCTTAGTTATGTTTGCTTTGGTGTATCCAAGGAAAAAGCACTTTATCTTTTTTTCTTTTGTGTTTGATGCTGCAAGGTGCTTCTGAAGAGATGTTCCTGCAGCTTTCAACCACATCTCATTGAAGTATTTAGGCATTCTGATAATTGCTTGAGTTTCTATGTTAAATTGTAGAAATCAGAAACTACTATGCCAGTGAACTGTGTTCGTTATTCCTGCAAGAAAGAAAAGATGTTATGACATATGCCTTCAAGTTGGGTAACTTTTAACTTGAGTTTCTCAGAACTTTAGAGGCTATGTGCTTTCCAGAGACTTGAATCTGAGGCTATATTCCTAAGTATGCATAGTCTAACTATCTAAAAGAATTAATGGAACCTGTGTGCTCGATTTCCTGAAACGGAATTGGAATCTATTTTGCGTATCGCTAATATGAACGTATTCATTAGTAATTGTGCTTCAACCTCTTGTTTCAGGTGTGGCAACATTAACTGGGCAAAGCGCACTAAGTGCAACATCTGCAACACTAACAAACCTGGCCACAATGAAGGTGGAGTAAGGTATGGATGCAATACATTATGCTTCTTATGACATTTTGGATGATTAATCTGTTCAATGACATGTTTTCATTAGCTATTCTGTCTGTGTCGTGTTAAAGAGCATCTCTTCATTGTAAATGTTCTTTTGTAAAGTTTCTTAATTTTTTGCTATAGGAGAAATTGTTTATGCTGCTGACATGAACAACTAATGTTAGTATTTGCACTTCATCAGAGTCTGATGTTTAAGTTTGCATCACTCTTTGTTCTCAATATTCACAAACTCTTTGAATTTAGCATCTCTCCTTTACCTGAGCTCCTTATCTTAACCAAATGCTTCTGACCACCTGTAAAAGTTTATGCATGATGAACTTGAGTATTGATAACTTTAAATGTGGGAGGTTCACATGGTTTACGAAATCATCACAAAATGCTCTTTTATTTCATTTCTTCTCTGACTCTGTAATTGTGGGGTTCCACCTAGTGAAAGCAAATCCTTGGTTTCTTGTTGGGATTTTATGCCTTGATTCCATGTGGTTGGAACCTTAGGATACTCTTCTCAACTGGTTTCTATAGAATAAAGGAAAGAGAAGGTCTATGCAGATCATGCGACAATGCGTGTGTGCATGGACCCTCGGGCACTTGAGGCATACTTTGCACTTCACATGAGGCACCTTTATGCAGCACAGTGGAAAATTTTTTATTCGTGCTTATCTTTTTTAAGCTAGCTTAAAAAAAAAATCTAAGTTGATGATGGGAATGGATTTCTTTCCCCACATTTGAACTGTTGGAAATCAAGCCATGGCTTTGATTGTTGAGAGCCTTCACTTTTTGATTCAGAGCTAAATGAAGGTGTGGCCTGTAGGTAGATTGTTATGAGCCATCACTTTTTGATTCAGAGCTAAATGGGCAGTGTCTGTTGTCATATGGTATGACAAATGAGTGCTTTGGACATGTATCTTATCCTGTGTTTTTATTTAGAGAAAAATAATACTAAGAAGAAGTGAAAAGAATTTCTTTTGATAAGTATGCAGAGAGCAGAAATATAGTATTTCTCGTATCAGAAATAGAAACTATGCTAAAGACCATGAAGCATGGACACGTAAAAAAAGAAAAAGGACCATGAAGCACGGCAGATTGGAGAAAACTTATTGATATGTGAAAGATCGCAAAGATGCATGGTAGTGGCCATTTTTGAGAATCTTGTTGTGAGTTTCTTGCTGAAGCAAGTTCCCTGAAATTTTTGTAAATTTGTTTATTTTTTCATGAAAAATTAAAATAAAACAAGTAAAATGAAAAGAAACAGCAGGAAACTCCTGAAATCATTTCTCAGAAATCTTTCATTCTCTCTCTCTCTCTCTCTGTGTATTTGAAATGGAAAACATAAATTTCTGTCCGCCTCTGTTTTGTTTTGTTGACGGCAAACTCAAGGAGTGCTCCTAAGATAGTTTTTCATCTCTATTTCTAATATTGCTGTAATTTTGTTTATGATTTGTTTATTAGGGGAGGTCGGGCAGGGGGTTATAAGGAATTAGATGAAGAAGAAATCGAGGAGACCCGACGTAGACGTAGGGAGGCTGAAGAGGTACTGGTTTAATCACCTTAAATATGTGTGCAATACTTTATTTTCTTCTAAATTTATTCCTTTGTTTATAGAAAATGTTTACTGCTTTTGTTGTTTGCATCTAACCGTTCTTGAACTATGCTCAGGATGACGGGGAAATGTATGATGAATTTGGCAATCTTAAGAAGAAGTTTCGTGCAAAGGCTCAAAACGAGATTAGCCAAACTCTCCCTGGTTCGGGTAGGGCAGGATGGGAAGTCGAAGAACTAGGTAATATCTCTCTCTCAGTTAATCATGACTGACCTATAATGTAACCATCTCTCTCTCATACGCAGAGCTAGCCCTCTAATGTAACCCACCTTTATCCTTACACACGCAAACACACACAAGCCCTCACTTTCTTTTTCTCTCCTTGCCAGCCTCTAGTAGAACCCACGTCTCTCCATCTTTTTATCTTATTTCTATGGTTGATTGGGTTTTGTTGATGGCAGAGAGAGACTCTAGAGAGAGAAGCCGAGACAGAGGAAGAGAGAATCACGACAAGGAGAGCAGCAAAATCCGTGATCGTGATGGACGTAATGGACACCGAGATCGTGACCGAGACCGTGATCGTGACCGAGATTGGGACTATGATAGAAGCCGAAGTCGCGACAAAGAGCGGGATAGAGGAAAAGATAGAGAAAGAGACCGAGATTATGATCGAGACAGAGACAGAGAACACGGAAGAGAGTGGGATAGGTACAGAGACCGATAAATACATGGAGTTCTGAGTAATCGCCACCCCTGTTCTGATGCATTTCATTTTGCAAAGGATTTGATGTGTTCTTTTATTTCTATAATGATGACTTTGAAATCGGTCCTCCCTCTTCAGTTCGAGTGACTCAATGGACTAATTTTGATTCAAATGACTAAATCATAGTGAGAATCAGGTTTCTTTGGTGATTTGTTGTCTAGGAATATTTGTCTAGTGAAATGGAGATTTTTGTGCTGTTAAGTTTTTACATTGTAGTGAGGTGATGAATTGATTTACTGATGAATGATCTCCGATTCTATTTTTTATGAGAATGTATACTATGCTCCTGCAGGAGCAATACCATGGGTCTACTCTCTCGTGAAAAACACTTAAAATAATGTAAATTAAGATGATCACCGGTAAAGTGATGGTACTGTGTTATAAGATATACTATTAATAGATTTTTTTTTTATATCCATATATTTAGAGATCAAGGTTATCAATTACAAGATGTACTATTATCAGTTGAGCTAATTGATAACCTCGTTCTCTAAATATATGATAGAAAAAAGGTTTCCCAACTATTTAGTGTTTTGAAAGGGTATAGTAAAAATCAGTGTGGAAAATTTGCATTCCAACCTGGGTGCTAGAGTCGGACATCAAGATAGAGAGGCTAGCAATTTTGAGCTGCAAAATCTTGAAATCACCTAAATCTCCTAGTTTTCTAGTACTTTTTTTAAAAAATTATTGCAAAAAGTACTGATGGAACTCAGGCTTGGACCCTTGCCGAGTAGTCGTCAAATTCCTTTTTTTTAAAGGAAAATTTGTTAAAAATCCCACCTTGTAATGAAAATTAAAAACAGCCCCTATATTTTGTATTTTACGCTTAAGTTCTGCTATTTTAAATTGATTATTGGTTTAACTTAGTTTTTTCTATACATTAAATTAAATATAATTTTTAATATCCATACTTCTGTCTATCACACACCTATTACAAATATAACAAGTATTTTCATAATCAAGATGAGCCAAATTCCTGTTTTTAAAAAGAAAATTTTGTTAAAAATCACATATTATAATTGAAAATTAAATAGGCCCCTATATTTTATATTTTACACTCAAGTATTACTTTTTGAGATTGCATATTGTTTTAATTTAGATTTTTCTATACATCAAATTAAATATAAATTTTGTATGTCCATATTTTTTACCATTATACACCTATCAAAATACAAAAAATAATTTAATAAATAAGATTAATTTTGGTTTATTTCACTCAAATCCACGTCAAATTTGAACCTAATCCTATATAGAAAAATAAATCTGAAATATATTTGGAGTTCTCAAAGAGACTGGAATAGAAAATCTGAAATATTAAGGACATTTTTTAAACTTGGGGAAGTTTATCAAAATGTACCTAATAAATGGACTATTCACCATTTTATCATAAAGGATGTATATAATGGGGTCATTTACCTTTCATACAAGGTGGTGACAATTAATCTTGATCATTAAATTGAATGTGAAATTGGATGGATGCATGTATTTTGGACCAAGCTTAAAACTTCAAAAGGAAATTTTAACCAAGGTAGTAGATTTACAATATACTCTCGCAGGAGCAGAGTACACCTACTCTTCTCTCATCTCCCTGCTCCTTTGCCCCTCTCATCGGCATTTATGTCTACTAACAATTCAATAAAATCAAATCCCATACAAGAACCCTAAAGCAAAACCCAACCCATCCATTTTCAAAAGCCATGGCGATACGCTCCATATCCTGGTACACCTCCTCACCCCGTGCAAACCGCACAATCCCCAAATGGCCCCTCCCTCCATGCCCGCTAATCTCCACAAAACCCTCCAGAATCGACATTAGAAACGAAGTGAAGGAGATTAGGGTTTGCCTTAACAAGAGTTGCAGAAAATTGGGGTCCAGAGAAACCCTAGAACTGATGTCCGACCTTGCCCCTCCCGAAATTTCGGTGAAATCTTGCAGCTGTCTCGGCCGTTGCGGCTCGGGCCCGAACCTGGTGCTGCTTCCCGCCGAGGAATTCGTCAGCCACTGTGACACCCCCGCCAAAATTGCCGATCTTTTGGCTATTAGATGTGGGGCCGGGGACGCGGCTATTAATCTAGAGGCGCTTGCTTTGAGGAAAAGGGCACAATTGGAATTGGAGAAGGGGAATTACTCGGGAGCCGAGGAATTGCTTACACAGGTCGGTTTCCCCTTAACTTCAGGAAGGAGTGAGGGGCAAGATAGTCATTTTGAACTAACCTCAGGAACACATGGTACCCCCCAAATTATGATATTGGAAGTCACACGGGGTCATTCAAAAAGTGAGAGTATAATAGTAATTTTTCTTTTCCACGGTTTTGAGGCTATAATAGTAATTTTGCTTTTGCATAGAAAAGGAGTTTGAATTTTTGAGAAATTTATTAAAATGAGTATAATTTTGTTGAGGATTATTTCCTGTGTTTTTTGGTAGCAAATTATTGGGATGGGTTTGAGGTTTGGGAGTCAACAATGATTTTTGTTTAGTGAAATCTGGTTTTATTGCAATAATAATGTTGTCTATGGAGTATAAGATATTAGGAGAGATTTATCAAAAAGGATTCTTTATAATGAAACAATTTACCTTTGGTACAAAGAGACAATAATTAAGTACGACCATCCGATGTGAAAACGGATAGCTTGAGCAAGAAATGTATTATTTAATATTCTATACTTTTGCCAGTACTCCAACTCCTATGATCATTTATTTTTAATGAGTATCTTGAATTAAATTAAACTATATAAGTAAAATGTTAAATAGTCAATCTCTCATAATTATTTAGATAAATTTCTATACGATTTGTCTGCCTATCAAATTAAACTAAACTATATAAGTAAAGTATTAAGTAGTTAATCTCTCATAAGTATTTAGATAAATTTCCATACGATTAATCTATTGATAGTATCCAAATGCGTCCTATACTATCAATACGACCGACGATCCACCATTGATAGATAGCAATAGGTGGTGGATTTTAGCTCCTATTTCCCTTGTGAAACCAAGAGTGAGCATCAACACATACATAAAATGAAAAAAAATAGATAGAAGTATGAAATTCAATCAACTCATGTTAAAGTTATCAGCCTCAAAGAATTTTCACATAGTAGATTAAGAAAGGATAATAATTTAGGATTATTTAGATGTGAAAAGAGAAGTGTTGTATAAGGTTGGCAGTTAGCGTAAAACTTTTATCACATCTTATGATGAATCCAAATGACTCATTATTTAGTTTATTTTCCTGCTTCGGTGGGTTTGCAGGCGATTAATATTGAGCCAAGAGGAGGCTTGCAATCCATATATAAATCTAGGTTTGTTGTTCAAAACCATTCTTTATATGGTGTTTAATTAGATTAACATAAATCACTCAAAGAACTAACAAGGAAAAAGCAAGTGGTTTATTATTGTTTTCAGTTTTTTATATTCCCAATATAACCCAGGTCAGCTGCAAGATATTCCAAGGGAAACTATTCTGGTGCTCTTGAAGATGCTCAAATGGCCACAAAGATTTCTCCAAAATGCCCCCAGGTAATATTTGACTCACTCAAGCTTGAGCAAACCTATAGTGATGGCTTTCTTTTTTCTCATATATTTTTGTGGTTGAGTAATGATGGGTCAAATTTCATCCCTATATATTATGGAAAACTATAAATTATATTTTTTTTGAAAATAAAAGTAAAACCATGTAGCATATCTTATTTAGGGGCGGTTATAACCTTAAGATTAAATAAACAATAAAAGAAAGATTGTATTCAATGAGATCGTTACCTCTCATATATAAAAGTAAAAAACATGTCAAGCTGTCAGATGTAAAATCAGACGGCTATGTTGTGTCATTCCTTCATATAAAGTTCCAAGGATAATTTTCTCGAACATCAAGCACAACAAATGGTAAGCCCCAGTCACCCATTTTCACATCTAATAATTAAGGATGAACATAGCTTTTTGGTGAGTTTATTCTATACTTTTACATTAAAATAACTGTTTCTTAATTATAAATTAGTTTTTTAAAATTTTTTTTATTTTCAGGCTTATATCCTTCAGGGTGATGCTTACTTTGGAAAGGAGGCATATGGAGCAGCAGAGAATGCATATTACACTGCATTAGAGATTGACCGATCTCTTCGTCGATCCAAGCCTTTCAAGGTTTCAATTTTTTTTTTGTCATATTAATATTTGGAATTTATTTTATTTTATTTTATCTTCTCAAGGAATATAAAAAATTTATTTTTTATCCAACATTAGTGAGTTATTTTTGGTTTTTCTCTGATTATTTTAGTCCTTGTGATTTCTAAATCATCATCATCCAAGCCTTATCCCACTTATTTGGGGTTGGCCCACTTCATCTCTAAATGAGTTCTTTAATATTTCCAGATTATATCCAAGATAGAAATTTTTCAGAATAAGACAATCTATTTTATTTTAGAAAAAATTATCAAAATACACCTAATCTGCAACTATTTAGCAATTAACACGTTTATCAAAGTGCACCTGAAATATCAGCTATTCTAACTCATGCCTACGCCTTTTGAAATTAAATTAAAAGAGATGAGTGAGATGTGAAATAGTTAATCTGATGAATTTTATCTTATTTGATTTGTAGTTCTTCCTAATATAATTTCCTCATGACTTATACCCCTTGTGGCTTTTCGTGTCTCTTATGCAGGCAAGGATTGCAGAGCTTCAAGAAAAACTAGCAAATGTTGAGCTTGATTGAATAAATGTTGATATCTTAACTTGATTGAATAAAATTGTATATATCTAAATGTACAAATTCTCAAGTTAAGAGTTTTAACATGGGAAGATTGTTGCCTGCCCAGAAAGAGATAAAAAATGCTTCGATGGACACAGCCCTCTCAGAACAAGTAAAGCCTAATCTCAAAACTCATGGAAAATTATACTTATGGGTTGAAAAAATTTCGGGTCAATCATTACGGAAAATTATGGTTATGGATTGAAAAAATTTCAACCCTGACCTTTGTGGTTGTAAAAGAAAAAAAAGAAGATTTTAAGCCTTAAAAATAGTGTATATTATAATACATTATGTATACTGTTTATTTCTAAGTGTTCACATATGCGTATGATCTTTAATATTTTTTGAGCAACAAATTTGATAATTGGTCGTGGAAATTGATTTTTTTGGCCATCAAAGATTTCTATGTACAAAGTGTTTTCCAAACGAAGTTTCAAGGTGAAGCTTTATTCTATTTGAGTTAATTACGTATGGACTTTATATAAATACGGTATGCTTTTTTTAAAAGGAAATATTACATCTAAGGTTGGTCAACTGTCTTTTTATTTTTTTTTACGAAATTAACCGGCGGTCCAAAGATGGTATCGTAGGACCATTCTTGGACCGTATTCTAATTTTTTGTTTTTTTTTTTTTTTGTTTTTTATTTAGTAAGGTGGTCTGAGGATTCCTCATTGTTTAGAAAACACAATGGTCTGAAGTCCCATCCTCATACTGCTACTTATTTTTTGAAAAAAATAGCGGTTTGAAGTTAAAATTTTCGGACTAAATTTTCTTTTTAAAAATAAATAAATAGCGGTATGAGATTTCAGATCGTTTTTTATTTTTTGAAAAAAACTACAGTTCGAGAATGAGAAACTCGAACCGCACCATAGACGAATCAACACAACGGGCATGAGCCGTAACCTTCCAAAGTAATCCTATTATAGTTCTTGAGAGAAAAACTGAGAAGCACTCCATCTTGGCTCCACCTACTGCCTTAGGCATGGCCACTTTCTCTCTCTAACAACTTTTAGTGGGTTTTCTTTGGCTCACCAGCATCGGGGCGCGTGCAAAGCCATGAAGTAAACCGAGGGTTAGAAAGAGAGAGCTGAAGCAATGGCGGCTATCGCCGGAAACCGGCCGAATATTTTACCCATTTCCGGCGAGCTTATCACCGCCCGACAAATGATGGCTTCTTTGGTGGCGGGGAGCTATTTTTCCTAACGAACGGTCCGAGTTTCGGATCGCTATTTTTTCAAAATGATAAGGAGCGGTTTGAAGATGGGGATCTCGGAGCATGTTTATGATCCGAGGATTTTAATATTGTACTTCTATTTTTTACGAAAAATAAGAAGTAGTTTGAGGATGGGGATCTTGGGCTGTTATTTTTTTTAAAAAAACCAATGATCGGTATGAGTCTAACTTTGGTCTGCCTCTTTTAAATAAAAAACAAAAAAATAATAATTAAAATACAGTTCGATAATGCCATCTTCGGATTGAGGGACAATTTTATCAAAAAAAAAAATCGTGTTGAATGAGTTTAGACGTAATACATATAAACGGACCAAACAATATTTCCCTATATAAATAAGGTCCGTACGTAATTAACTTTTTTTTTTTTTTTTTTTCTAACAAAAAAATGGGGACAGTATTTTGTAGTACTGCAACATTATAAAGCCCCCACCTAAATTCTTGGTAAATGTTGTCGTAGTGTAAAAAAAATTACAAATCGACATCGCTGACTATGGATTGGAAAAAAACCAAAGAAAAAGAAAAGGATTTCAAGTTCTAAAATGGTGCATCTTGTATATGAGTTTTAGGTTATATTAAGTGTTTTCAACTATTTTCGATTTATTGTTTTTTTTTAAGCTTATAATTAAATCATCATAGTCATTGTTATAACTTTTTTTCAACTAATTAGAGTCGGCTACATGAGTTCTGATCTATCGTTATGTTTTATTAAGAACTATACTTCAAAGAGGCTATAAGTCCCTATATCTTTTTTCACTACCGTCAACCATGTCATTTTGGGCCTATCTCTTACTTTTTTTTAGTCTTTCACTTGAAATAACTTGCACCTCCTAACCGGTGTTATATTCGGTCTATGCCACACATAGCTAGCCTAATTAAGTTTGTCTATACTCTCTTATCTTATCGTTTATTGGTGTGATACCTAAGTTTTTTAAAATTTATTCATTTTAAATTTTATCTATTCTTATCTTGTCATTTATCCATCTCAACATCCTCATCTTCGTTACGCTCATTTTATGGGTATATAGTTTTTTTATCGTCGAACATTCTACCTAATAGAGCAAAGTTGGTCTCAGTAGCTTTCCTATAGCTTTATTGGTATGCGGCAATAACATTAAATTTTGGTTGTACATTTCTATTTCGCTCACCCATCTCTAATTCTATGTATAATATCTTCTCAAATCTCTCAATTCAAATTATCAACATATTTAATATTGAACCAATATTTAAAATCCTGGACCGGTAACCCCAAATTGACGGATCGGCAATTTGGATCAAGTGAATTGGGTAATAAAAATAATAATAATAATAATAAAAGTGAGTCATGGCAGAAACTGGCTTGTTCACTTCCTGACAACCTGGCAGATCCGGACCGGCCCGACATATTCAAAACCCGTCAGCTTCGCCGTTTTCCGAAACACTGCATCAAATGAACGTCATAGTGCAATACACCTGAAAAATATGCGTAGATACGAATTTGTTACATGGCGCTAGAAATGAACCAGTAGGAAGGAAAGTGGTCGCCTCCTCAAATGGCATAAGCATTACAATAGAGTCAGATCACGGAAAGCTTCACTACAGAATGAGCAAATGAGTGGTAGAATGCCATCAATGGCTTACGTGAGGCCGGAAGCTAGTGGACAGGCTTCCAAGCATGAACAGAGGCCTCAAATGCCAATGACTCAGAACCCATCTTCATCTGGTGCAGTGCATCATGAGAAAATGAGGTCATCTCATGGTCCTTCAAAGGACGAAACACATGAGAGGCGATCAACGGCGGTGAATTTTGCTTCTTCCTCCATTATCTCGTCAGCAAATGAGCTTCAAACTTGTTCAGCGACACCCCATGACCATAAGATGGGTGTATATTTTCATATTTCATGACAGTTATAAGCAATTTTTGCTTGTGTTGAGAGGCTTTTTCTTCTAGACATGTATACCCCATTATCTTGAAAATGTTTGCAGATGGTCTATCTTTTCTCGAAGCTTGATACAATTGTACACCTACCAAAAACAAAATAAAATAAAAAAAGGATGTGAGAGTTCTTTGGCATACTGATCAAAAGAAAGAAAGAAAGAAACAAAAGAAAGAAAGAAAGAAAGAAAAGAAGTTCTATGGCATAGACCAGGCAGGAATTTTTGTGGCATTCTGTTGAGGGCTCATCTCTCCTTTATATTATGCTCTTAATCTTGCTTGATTAAATTGACAAGAATAGTATGAAAGAAATTCAATTTCGTTGAATAACATTATTCACTGCAAATATTTTTCCAGTTTCTGTTGGTGACAAGCCATAGACTTGTTGTTGTCAACTATCTTTTCATGAAAGGCAAAACATTTTATATTTTGGTTTGTTTTTATTCTCAGGTTACACAGACCCCTCCAGTTTCATCTGCCCTGGCAAGTGCAGTTCTATGCCATTCATTGTATTGTAGTAGCATGTAATATCTTCTAGTGCTAATACAATATATATTGAAAATTCAGCTGTGTATGCCTTTTACGATCACACCAGCTGGGGCTCTCACTAATACAAAGAAAAGAAACCTTCAGTTGGTCAGAAGCAGCCATTTGAGGCTCTTGGCAATTCAACACAACAATCAAGGTAACGTTTTCTTATTTGATCCCCATCTCCCTGTGTCTGATTATTATGTGCTCTTACTTCGATCTTTACAATTTGTATACTTCTTCAGAAATGCTGCATTAAGCATTTACCTTAGACGTGCATCTTTTTTACTGTTGACATCACAGTAAAAAGCAGAAGGTGTTTGGTAACTTTGTGGATCAGAACATTCAGCAACTCAAATATGTAACTGCTGTCAATATTAAACCTTATGGTAATGATTTTATCTGCATATTATTTATAAATTAAGTAGATTTTATTTCAATGTATAGATCTGTTGCTGTGTAAAATTGTAATTACTAGATGATTGTCAGCCTCTTGGAAGTCAATTTTCTGAATGATTACAACATTGGGTATGCTATTGTCTTGCACAGGAAGAGGAGGAACAGTTATTTTCCACCCCTAAGGAGGAAAGCACAGCTTCAGAAGCTACAATAAGAGTAGTACAAGAGCAAGAGCAAAGAATGATTTTGCAAAAGGGTCCACTTCAAAAGAAAATAACGGAAATCAGTTACAAACTCCTCTATAACCTTGTTATCTCAAGCAAATTTTTGTTCCCATTACTATGTTTGTTCCAACTTTTCTGGTCCATGTTACAGTGCCCATGTGTAAATTGAAGAGCACAGGCAGTAATGTGGAATGGTTCTTGTCAATAGTATGCTGCTCGGTATTAATGATTTTGATGGTAATAGTTCCTGCATAATTTCATTTCTATTTACATATACTCTGAAACTTTCAGTGTGTTGAGAAACGAATGCATGCAATCATAAGCAATCTGATAAGAATTTCAAAAAGGTTAGCATTTTATATGGATTAAAGTCTTTAAGTTTCTTTTTATTTTCCGTGGTAAAATTATTAAAGTTTTAGCAATCTGTCTATAGAAGGTAGATATTGAGAAGCCGAGGCAGAGAACTTTCATAACTTCCGACATTCGGTGTCAAATTCTAGCTATGAATCAGAAGGCTAAGGAAGACTGGGACAAGAAGACTGCTGAAGAAGCTGAAAAACTATGGAAACTTAATGAAGTAGGTAAATCATGTAGCTCTACATGTAATTCATTTGATTTTAATGTTGTTCTAAGTTTCTCTTATTACTCGTGGTTCAATTTGTCAATATTATACTTGGATTAATCTATGATGGTTTCTTTCAGTTTATATGTTGGGATTCTCCTTGTTGAGTTTCAATAGTACAATTTTCCAAAATGGACTCCACCCCCTATATGTATTGATTTTCTGCTAGCATATTTGATGCAGTAAAATAAAGTTTGTATACAGTGTTTCTCTTCCATTGACCCACTTATTGACACTCATTAACTCCAATTAATAATCTTAAAATTTTAGTACATGTTTCATGTGTCTGTCCAATATCTAAATTTTCTGAATTTGGGGTAAATATTTTGTTTCGGGATTGGATCTGCAAGGTTCTTAAAGTGGGATTTCACTCATGTCAAGGAGGTTGAAATAATAAAAAAGAAAACGACTCTCCTGTGAGGTTTGTAAATTGAGAAAAATGTATTGTATTGGTTAATTCACCATGGGCTTGGAGCTTCAGTGTAGAAATCCCTCACAAACAAATCTTGAACTGCCCCATGCTCCACTAACTATGCATACTTGGAGCCTTGGATGGTCATATCTTGAATAATTGTCATCTTACCAATGATATTTTCAGACCATTGCTGTTCAAATCTCAAATCATTACTGACAAAAATTTCAACCATGACAAAACTGACTTCTTTGAAAACATGAAACACCATTTGAAGATCTTTGATTGCTTAATTGCATCAGTTAGATTTTAGGAAACTGTAACACTTGGGCATTACGCCAACAAAAATTTGAGGGTGACTGTTTCAGATTTGTTTATTCGGTTGTGTTTTTTCACTGCTGCGGACCATCTATCTTGAGGACACAACATGTTTATGGAGTCAAGGACTCAAAGACCTTGAAAAATGTGTATGTTCTGGAGCGAGGGTACAGTAGTATCAGGGTTTCGAGAGTAACATGCTAAATTTCATCATATGGCTATAGAATTTTGCTCTAATCCGAATGTTTGGATACCTGATTTTGAGTAGGCTGGTCACACAGTTATTACTACCCTACTTATGCATTCATTCAGGCTCTTTTCTTCATATATACATGAAATAGCCTAATCTGTAATGCTACTAATCTCCCAGCATGTTTGTTTCATTGTCTGATATGTAATATTTGCTTGCATTTGTTCTTTCATCATGAATAAATTTCCAACCACGAAATCATGAGAATTTACAGACTTCAATTCAGATATTATAATTTAAATGCAAGAATTTGCACTGTTGTGAGGCTTTTCAATTCCACTCTTGCATAGCTAAAATGGACTATTCTCTCATCAAATCCCTATGCACTGCAGACAGAGGGAAGTGTTGGTGTGGATGGACAGAAGGATGAAACTCATGCAAAGGCATCAAAGGTATTATTGTTTGATTCTCCATGCTACTCTTTGAATTAAACTTGGAAGCTAAAAGATAGAATTGAGCAAAATCTAAACAAGTTTTTTCCTATGGATCTGCACATGCAAGCAAACAAGGTAGAGGCTGATAAGATGGGGATTAATGCTACAAATGTTGCGGCTCGAGCAGCTGTTGGGGGAGATGACATGTTATCAAAGTGGCCACTCATGTCTCAGAATCGTGAAGGTAGGCTTGATGGGTCAGACCGTCAGAGAGAGAGAGAGGCCCCATTTTATATCCATAAGACCATAACAATCCAAATTGATTGGATGATGATACCATTATGAAAATATGGGCTGTGGTATACTTTACCTTACCTGATTTGAGGGAGAGAGAGGGGGGGTGAGGGGGGGAGGGGGGGGGGGGGAGATGTCATGTACTTTCCTAACTGATTTGCTTTCTATTTGCTTGCCCAATGTCTGTGAGAGAGACACTCTCCGTTTGTGGGGTATATGCTTTATTTTTCTTTTGACTTTCTGTATGTCATGATATTGGGGACAGTGGTTAGGAGGCTGTTTGGGGGGGCACCAGCTCCAGTTCCTCTTCCAAAGATCGTGCTCAGAATTTCGGTGAAGGATGTGATTGCATTGTTAGAGAGAGAGCCTCAAATGTCAAAATCCGCCTTGCTATACGGTGCCTATACGAGAGGATGAACATGGATAGCAGTAACACACCAGAGAAAACAACAGGTGATTGAATCTGTTATTATAGATACTCAACCTTACTGAAATAAAATATGAAGGTATTGGATGTGGAAATGCAATTTTTCCCCCATCTTTTTGTGTACCAATTCATAGCTAAAAATTTAGATGCGAGAAGCTTACCTCTGAGTGCTCGCAAGGTTTTTGCCAAGCTCAAATATTATTGTTGTATATTAGAGTGCATCTCCAATTTCAAGTTCTGGAGTATAGTTTTTTTTCCCATGTCAAATGAAAATTTGGATTATGCCAATTCCACCTCAGCGGAAGAATTAGCCCAACTTTAAAGTATTAAGAGATTTAACTATGCATGGGGGAATCATTTGGTCATCCAAGAGGATTAAAAAAGTGTTATTGTATGGGCCTTGAGCTCTTTGGCCTTGCCTCTGGTCGCTTGAACATATTTTTGAGCATATTTCCTATCCATGCAGGCATATTCACACCTCCTCTCAACATACGTGATGAGGCCAAATCTAGTGTGGAAGCCCTTGCCAAAGAAGGGGTGAGAGCAGCCAACCACACCATAACCATTTTGGTACCTTTTTGAGTCGGGGTTTGCTATTTTTTGAAATTTTATGCTTTTATGAGCAGCTTTGTACATTGTACAGCATGCCCTCATTTCCAGCAATTTTGTATAGGTTCGCTTGCTTGTGAATTCCCGGGCTATGGGTTGCCACAATTTTCTGTACTTGCCTACTATAGTAATACACTGTCACCATTTTTGGAGAAAAAACAAGTCTGATCACTATCAAAATGACTTCCTGTTCAAAATCCAAAATGATATTAAAAAAAATCTGATCACTATCAAAATGGACTTCGTGGACCAAATCCAAAATGATATAAATACCCTGAATTTTCTGACATGCATCCTTTTCACTATCATGAATTTTTTATTTCATTTTTGGGCAATCTTGATGCAGCTCATTGTTTTGGGAGATGTCCAGTTTGATTGAATGTTTTAACAGAACCATATATTAGAAAATCTTGGAAAAAACATAAATTTCGGAGAGAGAGGGGAAGAGAGAGGGGGGGGGGGGGGGTAAAAATGCCTCCACCTTCTTGTGTAATTCGCACTTTTAGATGAGGTATTGCTTCTTTTCATGAGCAAGTTTTATGGTGTAGCAATATTTATTGTATTGGCATCATAGACTAGGGCTGTAAACAGTCCTGGGCTGAGCCTGGCTCGAAACAGTCCAGGGTAGGCCTGGGGTTCAAATTTAAGTTTGCTGCCTTAAAATCACAGGTCTCAGTGCTATGACCCATATAAAGAACTTATTCCTACTTGTTTCTTGTAAAAGTCCATGGTGGAAAGGAAACTGGTTATGATGGAAAACGATGAAGATAATTCTGCTATTGTAATCATTCTACAACACCCTCCTGTATATACATATGGGTCCCTCCTGTATATTCATTGAGTCCAAATAGTTCAGAGAAAGTCTTGAATTTTGGTGTACAAGATCCTCCCTATGATGCCTTTTGAACTGAACGACGGGCGGATCTCACATTTCATGGTCCAGGGCAGGTGATTGTCTGAGCTGTGCTTTTGTTTTCATAAGATGAGTTAAATTCCACATCAAACCCACCTACATATGAGTTATGATAGGGAAATTTCAGTGTAATAAAATGGAATATGAAAAGCCATATTTCATTTTTTTTTCTTGGGAAACGGAAATTATAGCCCATTGGGGTTATTTTCTGATGAAATGATACCTGGCGCTGGGTAGAGAGTGGGATCCATCATCAGGGTCATCTTGTGTTCTAGTCGGTCACACTCTCTCTCCTCCTCTCTACCCCCATCATTGCCCATCATTTCATTGGATGGTCATGATGCCAATGGAATATCGTTTTTGATAATCCATTGGATTATAATATACTTCTGAGTTTTATATGCAATCTTGGCTCCTGTTGTTGCAAACCTCTAAATACAAAGGATTGACATGCCATGTGAGTTTTGTGATTTACCATAATTTGGTTCGTCTCAGTTTCATTTCTTGATTAATGAATGGTGCTCCAGGCTAGAGCCGCATAGACGCAATGCTTATAACATACTAGGAAACCAACGAATAATATACTATAGTCAGAGTGAGAAAATTCTACATGCCAGCTTTTGTTCTTGTCGCTGTTATTATCATTCCAGCAAAAAGATAATAGCAATAGTGAATGTGTGACTTGCCTCTTTGTCTTTTGGGACACTTTGTAACTGCACTGTGATTTTTGAGTTTTATTGTTTGGCTTGTAATGTATCCTACCTGCGTTAGCACAAATGGATCTCCATTGGTACTTAAGGTCACTTAAGGAAGTTGTTATTGGATTTCTCTCATCCTGCTTTGAAATAAAGGCTTCAATAATTAACGGCTTTACTGGCATTTGGATTGGTACGCTCTCTCTCTCACCCTACCTGTATTTGATCCAGTTATTTCTTTTAGGCAACCAGAAGCTACTGGCCATTGGCATTCATGTCTTGACGTGGATAACATATCATGGCCTTTTGCTTAATGTTATATAAATATAAATAATGTCATACCATTTGGTCACAGTATTTGCTGTGGCATAAGAAACTGTCAGTCTGGGAGCCTTGCTGACCTCTTGAGAGGTTCAATAGATACCTGTGAAGTTTTAGATATCGCTCATCTCTCTCTGCTTAAAGAGTTCCCATTTGTTGTCCAGCTTGCTCTTCAGCCTCATTCAGGTTTTGACATAGCTAGTGGTAAGAACAAGGGAAGAGATCTTGTAAAATGAAAAACTTGAGTAGATATAAAGAATCAGAGGATTTTTCATGTTATTAGAGTTCAAAATTTTTAGAAAATCCCTGTGTGAAAGAGCTTGGAGTCGTATGATTATTATATTATTGTTTTGTGTAATTCAAATGCATTATACTTGACTGTTAATTGTAACAGTTGAGTAGAAAATTGGATATTGTGAAGATAAAAAGAATCGGAGGCTTCTTGCATTTGATGGGGAGTTCAAAATTTCCTGCAAATCCCACCTAGGAAGAATTTGGAATTTCATGCTTATTCACATAATAGTTTTGTATCATGCAACCACATCATAACATAACTGGAAGGTTAAGATGTGCATGCCATGAGTGTCTAGATATTTTGAAATGGCCTTGTAATATGAAAATTAAGAATAAGGAAGAGCACTAAGAGGTTTTTGGAGGTGCTAGCATAATATATGAAGAAAATTATACTTTAATGTTTGTTCCAGATTAACATTGAAAATAAAATGCTTGTTCCAGATTACTTAGTCAGGTTCACAACCTCGATTAATAAAGCTCATACATCTAATAGATGCATGATTAACTGAGGAAACCTACACTAAAAATGGGAGATAATAATTTGGGATAGTATATAGTGTGTTTACCATATGTAACTAAGATTTCCCAAAACTGTTATATGTGAAATCGGGTGGCTGCGGATGTGGCATTGATCAGAAGTCGAAGAAAATCTTCTTCCATTTTTGTAAAGAAAATTGGCACAACCCTGCCATCCAATTTTCGGGTGTTTGTGTACCCAATTTAACAATCTTGTTGTATGCAATCATATCGCTCCATCCAATCAAGCATTTGCCCACTTCTAGAAATTTAATGTCCTTTTTCTCGATATCTTTGCCATCTGATGTAATCTTTGAAATAAGCTTTCATGCACCGATTCATGCTATGAAAGAAGGAAAAAATTCAGAAGGCTTTCATGCACCAATCTCATGAAAACTATTTACTTTGGCTGAGCAATTTCAAGAGAGGTGCATGGCCAGGGAATTCTTCTTCCTTTCTGTTCCTAGGTGAATTTCTTCTTCTTTTCTCATTCCCTGTCTTTGTATATGCATAGCTCGTGAATGTGTCAGTGCAGTGCAACCATCTAAATGCATCAAATGCACTGCATCTGAAGGCATTTGGATCCCATTAGACTCCCAACACTAATCTACAGGATCTAGATGCATTGGAACCCACTAGAATTTTATTATACACCAAAAAAAAGAGAAAAAGAAGAAAGGAAAAAGAAAAATGAATGTGTCAATTGTGCATGGGTTCCCATCCCAATTGAGTACTAAAAAAGGGAAGAAGATCCAAAGGATGTGACGTCAAGAGTTCCATTCCTACCCATCCTTAGCTAACATTAAAAAAGAAGAAGCTAGAGATCATATTGCAAAAGGCAAATCCAATTTCATAATGCACTTTTGAGTGGTTGTTAGTAATAATGCATGTCTAGTTTCCCATGTATTTTGGAATAACTTTGATGGAACTAAATTGATTTGAATTACTGCTTCATACGAGTGACTCATGACCTTGGTGTCCCATTTTATCTTTTAATCCGATTGATATTGTATCATGCATCTCAGGCCCTGTTTGATAAAACAAAGTCTCAAGTCTCCTAAATTTTGGAAATCTGGATAAAGGCATTGCTAACTTTCTATATATCTGGATTATATCCTATTTCAAATATGTGTTGATCATAATGAATATTGAGAACTTGGATCTTGGAGACCAAGCATGCCTCGCATCATGTATTGTATAGGACTTAAAAAAAAACTTATCCAAAGGGGTTGTATACTATAAGACTGTGAAAGCTTGTTACAAGAAGGTCACGAACTCTCCTATTTGTCATATATTAAATCAAGCTGCTGGATGTGAGTCATTTTTCTATTAAAAAGTCCAAAAAATAATATTTTTCCTGCTCTAACCACAGTTAGTGGCACATCCCTGGCTGTGTGACTTCACATCTGAAAGTTACAAGCATTACCATTTTATACCAAAGATAAATGGTCTTGTGGCATAGTTTCCATCATCTGAAATGCTATCAACATTTGTAAAAGAGAAACACTAGTGTTTGGTCTCAAGAAAATGTTTAAAAAGCATCCATATTAGTGTTGGCTTTATTTCTACATGAGGTTAATAAGGAAGTCAATTGTTAAACTAAGATCCTGTCGAAAACTTGTATTTGGTATCAATAGCTTATGTTGGTTGTGTAAGAAGTCGATGATGATGAAGGTGAGGTTGTTTCCTTATAAACTTATTGCCTTTAAAAATCAGTCACTAATAGTTTGTTCGATACGAGACTTCATTATCCTAGAGCTCGGCATCAATTGAACTCTAGATGTCACATTGTGGCACACTGCCACCCTGACCACCAAGACTTGGAGTAATTTATTATGAGACTTGCCAAGTTAAAAATCAGAGAGAACACACACACAAAAAAAGAAAAAACGAAAAAAAACAACAACAAAACAAAACAACGAGAGAGAAGAAATAGATATGAGAGTACATTGGTTATTCATGCCAATTATTACATTACTGGTGTTTTAGAAGTTGGATCGGGGCCTCAACTTAGTAGGGGTCTGAGCCGAGTCTCTGGAAGCTTTAATGAAAAACTAAAAACTACTTAAAAATCATGAAACTTGGGTGATTTTTCAGTTCTTCAACCTACAGTTGTTGGCCTCCCAATCCAGTCTGATTTGGGTCACTTCTTAAGTTCAACATACAAAATTTTTAAGTACTAAAATATTACTACTCATTTGGGGTTATAGGATTTTCTCACAATTTTTTATTTCAAGATAATTTTGAATTTTCATTATTTTAAGTATATTTAGAGAAATTTATCAATATACAACTAAAAGCTGAATAATATAATATTTTACTTTTTTGAACTTATTATTCAATATTTTACTATAGCTCTAATTTGACAAGCTTCGAAACCCAATGTGATGTGTCTTTGGGATATTTGAAATTTGTTCAAAAGAACATTGGTTGTTTGAATTGGAATGAAAAGGGTAAGATTTTAAGTAAGGAAAAAGTTTCTATAGAGCCGAGGCTCTAAACAATCAAATTAGAACACACATAAAAAATTTCACCATAAGAGATTGTTTTGATGCCAAAATATCATCAAGTTGATCATCTTGACATCAACATGCATGGACATGAGAAAAAAAATGGATCTCAAGTTTTTTAAATAATGCATTTTTGACCATCAATTTTCAAGACTTTCAAGTTTTAATAGATTTGCTCAATCTACACTATTTTTTAACTTTAAATTATATAATTAGATATGAAAATATTTTTTAAGTCTATTACAAATATTTTCAGCATTGAAACCACATTTCTCAATACTATTTGAAGGTGCACTCTACTTTGATTGTTTAGAGCCTCGGCTCCATAAAAACCGCACCTAAGTAATTCAAATCTTGATTGTAGGTAAGCGTGATAACATTCCAAAGAAAAACAGAAAAGAAAAAGAAAATCGTAGATAAATCTTGATAAATCCTAGTCTCTTTTTAGGTTAAATTATTTACTCACACATTTTGAAAGAATAAAATAGCTCATTTGGAATAACATGGATTAACTAAGACTTAAAAATATATAAATGGTCGAACTTAGCAATGTTTTGCCAGTCGAATCAACAAAAAAAACAAACAAGTTCATAGAATTAAGCATACCTTTTACTTCCCTTTGTTTACTTTGTTGTTGTTGTTGTTATTATTAATAATAATAATAATAATAATATTATTATTATTATTATTATTATTATTATTATTATTATTTATTTTATTTTTTTATGGGAAGTCTATCAAAATACATCAATTCACCTATTTAACATTCGAAGAACTTTATACAATGTTGCAGCCTTATGCTATAAAAAGAAGATGCACATCAAAGATTTAGTAGAAAATAATGTTCAGTTGTTGGAAAAACTTCCAATTGATCATCTCAAAAGAAAAAAAATAAAATTCAAGTCATAAAAATAATTAATCTTGTAACAAGTTATCTTGACCATCTATTTTCAAGATTTTCACATGTTTATAAAATTATTCGATATGTACCATTTTTTCAATCTTAAACTTTGTAATTAGGGTTGATAATCAATTTTCAAGCCATCGTAAGGTTTTCAACACTAAAACTACGTCTTTTGGCAAATTTTAGAGGTGAGCATAAGGTGGGCAGCTTATATGAACCTCTTTTTTACATTTTACTATTTTATTATAGGAAAATTATACACAGAGAACATACATTTTTAATATAGGAAGGAGATAGTCATTTTTGTCTATCAGATTTCAATTTGGGTGATTGTGAGTGTGCCATTTACTAGCCTCTAGGTTTTTTAAAAAGAATGTCGAACTTTGTGACACGCCTCAAGCCATCCAAATCGATTTCTAATGATTAGTAGCAATTGCAACTTCCTTGTAATACAAATGAATGATATTATAGTATACAATACCTTTCTACTATTCCAACTGGAAATTATGTGTTTTTGGATGGATACTTTAAAATCAAATGATTGTTATAATATTAAACATGGGTGGAGTTTGCAAAAAGTTGCAACATTAAACAATCAAATTAAGGTGCATCTCCAAAGTTAATCATAAGATGCAATTATAGAGTCGAAATTTAGAGGATGATGCAAAAAATTATTTTTATCTTTAATCATAAAATTTTAAACTCCATAAATAATTGAAATGAAATAGATCTATCAACATATGAAAATTTTAAAATAGACCGTCAAGATAATGAGTTGCAAGGTGTACTATTTTTAAGACTTGAAATCTCTTTTTTTCTCCATATCTATATATCTCGATTGCGAGATGGTTAATTAGATATTTTTCCAAAATCAAAACAACCTTTTGGGAAGGATTTTACATGTGTATCTTAATTCTACATTTTAAAGTGTGAACTTTATATAAACTTTTAAAAATTCAATTTTTAAAAATAGTGTATATTGCAATACATTATATGGATAGTCCATTTTTAATATTTTAAAATATTTATAGATCTATTTAATTTGAACCCCTTTGAAGTTTAAAATTTCATAATTAAAGATGAAAATTGGATTTTAATATTTTATAATTAAAAATAAAAATAGATTTTTAAGCCATCCAAACAAATTTTTACACTAAAATTATATATATGATAAAATTTGGAGGTGCGTCTTAATTTAATTGTTTAATGTTTAACCTTATGGAAACCACACCCCTGCATAATTAGTACATCTTAACAATTTCGTCTATGACGACATTGACAAGGGTAACATTCGTCCTTTTTAAGTCCAAAAATAACTCAGTTAGGGTTTCTCCGTCGCTAGGGTTTCCTCAAAGGGTCCTCAGCCTTATCGCTTTCTCTTTTTATTCTCTCTCTGTGCTTCTCTCCCTTAAGGTGTCTGCAGCTTATAGGAACAAGAATCATAAGGTACGTTTCTTTCTTCTCTCTCCTCCTCTCTCTCTCTCTCTCTCTCTCTGCACCGCTTGTCATCTCTCTCTATCTGAAATGAATCCGTCCTATTCCATGCGCTGTTTTAACTGAATAATGTGTCATCGATGTGTATATTATCAATATATTTGGTGAAGTACATTACCATTTCTATGCTCTTCATGATCCTGAAGTTATCAGGTTTTAGCATGTTACTATTGTTATGTTTTTGAGATGGATATCACACTTGATCTCTCTGTAACTTGAAGAAAAAAGAACTACTTTGAAGAAATCCTGCAAAATAATCTAGCAATATGTGTATGACATGGGTCAATTAGTGAATGTTTTACTTGAATCTTTTGTTACTGCATTTAGATATGGTCATACGTCTTTGTATTTCTATTGAAATAGTTGTAGATTCTGTTATAATACCATTTGAATCTGACGTCATGGTTTTGCAGGAAATTTATAAAAAGTTTATTAAGTGATTGTTTTATCTGAAATGCATGCCATATTTGCTTTTCCTCTGTAACTTTCAAACCCACTGAAAATAAATTGTGTGAAGCTGAAACGATTCTCTCTTTTTCTCTCTCTCCTATCAATCTGGATTTTCTGCAATATGGAGGGGGGAACTGAAAAACTTTATTGGTTAAAAATGATTATTGTCAAATTTGCAGTAAATATGAATTGAATATGGAGGGGAGGGGCTTTACTCTTCATTGGGACCCATTTACATCAAAAGTTTGATTTCTAAAACCGATGGTCTTGTCTCACTCAACCTCCTTGATTCACCTCTCATTCACTCTGTCTAAAATCAGAAACCCCCAGTGAAACCCTAGGTATTTAGTAACTTTATGTTTACTAAACCCCATATTACTTTAATTTCTAAAACAATGGCAGTTTATTAGTTTCATTGCAAAGGCTAACAAAACCTTTCTCAAAATCTCATTCCATTGTCTTTCTCTTTCTATAAATATCTTCTCGCTCAAATATACTGCCAAAGCTTATAATTAACTGTGTTAATGTTATTGATTTAAAAAACTGCTAGTATTTTCTTAATCTCTTCATCTTTAAACCCTAATTCTAAGAAAACACATTCTAAATTCACTTTTCTGTATGTAGCAACTGAAATTATGGATTTCCTTTAGAATCAATGGCATATTGGCTCTGCCACTCCAAAAAAGTGGGACTACTATAACCACATTCAAATTTCACTTCTCTGCACGTTCTAAGTGTAATTACAGCATTTATTTAGAAATCGACGGTGTCAGAAAATCTCAAGACAAGGAAAACCTACCTTCAAAATTCCCGTGCTGTATTCACCACCCTCTCTCTCTCTCTCGCTCTCGCTCATCCAAAGAACTCACCTGTTTCTCTAATCAGGAGCATCAACACCACAATTAGATATCATGGGTCGTGTCATCAGAGCCCAGAGGAAGGGTGCCGGCTCTGTGTTCAAGTCCCACACCCACCATCGCAAGGGCCCAGCTCGTTTCCGTAGTCTCGACTATGGTGAGCGCAATGGTTACCTCAAGGGGGTCGTGACTGATGTCATTCATGACCCTGGTCGTGGAGCACCACTCTGCAAAGTCTCATTTCGCCACCCATTTCGCTACAAGATCCAGAAGGAGCTCTTTGTGGCAGCAGAGGGAATGTACACAGGTCAGTTTGTGTACTGTGGTAAGAAGGCCAATCTGATTGTTGGGAATGTACTCCCCTTGCGTTCAATCCCTGAGGGTGCGGTCGTGTGCAACGTTGAGCACCATGCTGGGGACCGTGGATCCTTTGCCAGGGCATCTGGGGACTATTGCATTGTGATCAGCCACAACCCTGACAATGGTACCACCAGGTGGGTTCTTATTCTGCCTTTTTTTTTTTCCTTTTTGGATGAGGAGTTTATATCTATTATTATGATTTTGCATTGTGTTGTTTAGTGGGTTTTTTTTTTTTATCTGAATTTCTTGTTCTGTTTTGTTTGGATACTTGACCTCTATTTCTTGTTCTGTTTTGTTTGGATACTTGACCTCTATATCTTGTTGTCATATTTGTATTATCTTATTTTGGGTGTTCAAATTGTCAAAGACTTGTTGGGAGTCTTTGTGTTGTGTTAGGTTTTTTCTTGATAGGTAAAGTATAGAGTCCACATGAATAGGGCTGAGGGCTGAGAATTTATCTGCTCTGGATTTGAAACCCGAAATTTGGATTCGATTCGGATCGGGATATGGACCCAAGATTTGGATCCAAATATTAGATCCAAATAGAAATTTGGATTGGATCCGGGAACAGGTAGATCCGATCGGGATCCGAATTTGGGTCCAAGATTGGGGGGGAAAGCTGCATCATTTGTAGAAAAGATTGGGGCTCCATGCTAAATTTTTCATCTATATATCACTGTGGAAACCCTAGCTCCAAAAGACACTTGATAGCACGCCGCTGTTCTTAAGTAAACAAGTCTTTCTCTCTCTCTCTCTTGCCGCTATTCTCAAGTAAAAGACTCTCCCCTCTCCTCTTGCAGGAGTGGCTGTGGCCTCCTTGAGTTTACTGTTTTAACTGGCTCGAGACCAGTGTTTCAAAAAGCGTTAGGCGGCTCCTAGGCGGTCAGGGGGCTCCGGGCCACCTAGCGCCTAGGCAGGCACCCAGGCGGGTGCCCAGAATGTAGGTGGTCAAGTAGAAATATTTTTTTGGGGGGTTTTCTCTCTTCAAAATAGCCTCCGATGGGTTTTAGGTTTCAAATGAACCTAAAACCCTTAATTTTACCTCCTTAGCTTGAGACTCCTTGGTTACAGTCCTTTTATGAAAGGTTTTTTTGAATTAATTTTGTTTTTTAATGGATTGGAGTATAAATGCGGGTCCTGTGATGTAGTTATAATCTTTGAGACCTGATTTCTCTCTGATGACAGCTTTGCATGTGACTGAGGACTCTGTTTTTCCTTTGCTATTTTCCACATCTTTTGTCATGTTTATTCAACAAGACGAAAATAGGGAGTAGCACGATTTTGATTTTCCTGAAAAAAAATTCCATAGTTTATTCTCACTTTTTAATATTTATTAATATTCGTCTCTTTGGTTTGGGCTTTTGTTCCTTTATTTTTGGCCCTAAGAATTTGGAATGTTGTGAATGAATGATGAGATGCACTGGGCTCTGAGCAATTTTCGCTTGCGAATTGATGGAAATGCATTTGCCTAGAAAGCATTGTCTGACCATAGCACGCAATCAACAGCCAAGAGTGGCAAAAAAAACACCAAAATCGAAATTAACTTAAATAGGAGGGCCTTGGATTAACACCAAAATTGGAATTGATCCGATCATCCGGATTCGTATCCTATAGTTTTGGATTCGGATCTGGATCTGGGTGGATCCGGATCAGATCTGAAGAATTCTCAGCCCTACACATAATGTGGATGCTGAAATATGCACAAGCACCTTCTCTACAGTTAAGATTCGAAATAAAACATGATTTGTCATGAGTTCATTTTGTTTTTCAATTTTAATTTTTTCTACAAATTGTATTGAATTTAAAATTCAGTTGTATACACTACTCAATCAGGCACACCTAAGAAAATATCAAAAAATTACTTGTGAAGAATAAATAGACCAAATACCATGAAATAATCAAGTTACTTTGGTCAATTTATTTGTAATAAATTATTTTCAATATTTGTTATAGATGCACCTGATTGATAAGTATGGACTTAACTTTAAAACCGTTTGCAGGGGAAAAAATGTAAAATGGAATAGAAAATTGTGGCTGTCAATTTTATGTCCTTTTAATCTGGACCATTAGAGGTGCTTCTGTGCTTGTGCATCATTTTGAGTATCCGCTTCATGTGGATGTGAAATAAGTCTTCTTGATATATATCAGAGTCTGCGAAATGGATATTGGTCTGGTAAATTTCTGGCATCATTATGATATTGCTCACATGTGTCATATCAACTGATTAAATGAAGTCAGATAATTCAAGGGCTCTTTCTCTCACCTGTGGGAGTGAAAAATTTAAGGGCTCTCTCTGTCTCTTTCTTTTGTTAATCCCTAGATTATTTCTCTATTGGGTGATCTCCGTTGCAATGTAATGGGTTGGATCATAATGTGTTGATGTTTTTCTGCACACTTTTGTGAAAATAGAACACTTAGGTTTGATGAATGATACATCTTTGAAATGATTAACCCCTCAAAATGAAACACCTGTCAAGCTCAAAGTGTCTGCCATGGTATCACCCTGTACTATATCACTCTCTCTTCCGCACGCATTAGATACTTATGACTGTGCTGAATGCTTTGGATTCAAATGCTTTTCATGAATGTTTGAAACTGCTATGTAAACTTATCTATCTGCACTGTTCTGTTAGGAGAGGGTGTGTTTGCTGGATTGTGGGTGGTGATCAATGAGATGTATATTGATCTTTAGTACTATTGTAAGTTTGTTGAATTGGCTGTTGCTGGGCATCAATGTTAAAAAAGGTGGAGGCGGCTGCCTAGTTGGCTAGGGGCCTTGACCGCCAAGGCGGCCCTGGGGCCTCGAGGGAGGGTTGTTTGAGGTGGGATGGCATATGTTGTGTGTGTGTGTCCGTGTGTCAGAGCACGTGTGTGGGAGTGAGGTCTTGACCACCTTGGGGTATGCTCATTTTCTTCTAATATGTCCAGAGAGAGAGAGAGAGAGAGAGAGAGAGGGAGGGAACTTGCATCGAACACTTGGATGTCATCTTCTTCTTGCATATAAAGAGAGTGCACATGGGTCTGTTGTGTCTTTGTGTACATATGTGCTTGTGTGCATGTAAGAGAAATGTAGGTCTCACATCAAACGCTTGGAGGCTATCTTCTTCTGTTTCTTTTATATGTAGAGAGCACATGGGCCCATGAGAGTGAGAGAAAAAGATAGAGATAGAGAGAGAAAGAGGCCTTAGATAGGCCTTTCAACTTTTTTTTTTCTCTTCAATGTGGGTTTTTTTTGAAGGGGTTGGCAGGCACTAGGCACCTTGGACATACCTGCCTAGAGCCACCTGCCTTGGACATGCCTGCCTAGAGCCACCTGCCTAAGCTACGCCTAGGCGGATTTGCTGCGAGGCCCTAGGCGGCCGATTTTTTCAACCTTGTTGGGCATACAAGCTGGATATGTAAATCTATTTTTCTATTATCATCTGTTATTTGTTTGACTGTTGATGGGCCTATGAACTCGATTTTTATTGACACCGTTGAACTAGTTTCTGATCTATTATGTGATTATACATTTATCCTTTAAACATAGGATATGTGACAGTCACTTGATTCGTTCCTCTTAATCATATTTATTTAATTTTTTAAGAGGAAAATTCGTTTAAGTTTATGAACCTAAATGGATATGTTGTACCAATTATTGGAAGTTTCAGGTTTTTGTGGTGTATATGCATGGTTTTGTTTTAATTTACAACATTTACTAATTTTGGTATATTTGAGATTTCAAATCTCGCTTCTAATTTCTATGCTTCGCTTGTGTGCGCATATATATGTGTGTGTGTGTGTGTGTGAGAGAGAGAGAGAGAGAGAGAGAGAGAGAGAGAGGAGGAGAGTCGTCTTCCTCTTACTTTTACTATCTATCTATGTACGTTGTTCGTCTCTTACTTTCGAGTACTACGACGTCCTCCATCGAGGTGACGAAAGTAAAGTAC